GTAATTTCTAGCAGATATAATCGTACTTAATCTACGATTCCGCAACCCACTGGCAAACTGCTTAATTGCCATTTGTTCGTTTATTGGTTTTAATATATTATAGCATTGATCATTGCCATCGGCTTGCGCAATCGTCAGATCTACAAATAATTCTGTAATGTCCTTCCCGTAATCCGCAATTGAACTTTCATTTTGTTTAATTTTTTGCAACTTATTTTGTATTGCCGTTGCAGCTTTCTTACATAATAACACACTTCTCATATCATTTATTAACTCGTCTACAGTATCATATTTCGCTTTTAACTTTATCTTAGCTTCTTGAGAAAGTCTACTTTTCAGCACGAAGTTTATTAAGTTTTGTTTACAAGAATTTTCTTTTAAAATAGAATTATAATAGACTATATTATCAATCAATTGCTTCGTATTAGACTCCTCATTTGTCATAACAGGTAAAAGGCTCAAGGCAATTTTTAAATCAAATGAACTCATCTTCGAAAAATAATCTGATTTATCACTCTGACACAACAATAAACTATCCTCATATAAAGCTAAAAATTCACGACAATGATTCTGTATTAATAAAATATCTTGGCTACTATAATATTTATTCTTAACTTTATCATTAAAATCAATTAACCAAGTCTCATACTGTTGATAAATAGCATCAACTTCAATTACCTTCTTTTCCAATACTCTCTCTGTCCTTCGTTTCGGTCCTAACTTTATTAAATTTATTCTTATTTTCTTTAAATCATTATATAATGTCAAAATTATATCCATTAGGTACTTAACACCACAACTATTTCTAACTATACTAACTTAACTATTCATGTTAACTATTCATATTATAACATTAGTATTAAGTTTTATAATTAAGTACGAATGCAAACAAACGCAATTAATACCATAGTCCAAAGTTCAATTCACGTTCAGTCCGTATTTGGTAAGGCACTGCATTGTTTTAAAACTAAGATATTACGCAACTCGATTGATATAATATTTGCATATGATTATTGAAACGATTAAAACCGATTTATACTTTTCCGCACCAATACTTTTTAAGCACTTTTTTTTTTATTTTTCACTTATGGCACTTTTTTTTACACACTTTTATGTTTCACACCATATCTTCTGAAAATGTTTTAGCCGTGTTCTCGTTGACCCCCGACTGCAAACGACGACGAAGAAAAGATCTCCTCATCATAGTGATCCGATTGATCTCATTTGTTATCCATCGTACATGGCATCTTCTATACAGCCGGTACACGAAGTATATCAGTCCAAGTAGTATAACCAACAGGATAATCGCCAGGAAAATGTTTGTTATAGACATATGAAAACGAATTTCGTCAGTTTTCGCCTCGTTACTGCCTGCAGCGTTTTGGATAACGAAGGTCTCTTCCTTAGATTGTTGTTTTCCCATGGTCGTAGATTATACGTACTCTCACGTCAAGTTCGTAATTACAATAAATCTGCACTAACTCCATTGTTACTAATAATTCGCGGTACTTAGGTGGGTACACAGTACACTCGAACGTCTCAAATTCGCGGCGCGCGTGTTGACCATCCTGGCAGGGTCGCCATGTAAGGTGCGGTGTTTATATGAAATGAAACCAGTGGATGCCCGAATAATACTGGCCTATATTTGATAGAATAACATATTATAAATGGTTACATTGGTACAAAGACAATACAAGATAGAACTTACAATAGGTATAATATATGCCTCACACCCCTTCGTCGTACCAACGCAAATGGGTGGAGAGTTATTGATAGGGGTTGTAATGGTAATCAATTCTTTTATTATTATTATTTTTTTAATTAAACGTTTCCCCACATTAGGATTTTTTCCTGTGTCGTGGGTGCGTTTACAAACATACAAGTTCACATACACAATGACACCCAGACCCGAAACAACAATTTGTGGATCACACAAAGTGTTGTTCCGTGCGGGAATCGAACCCGCGACACGTTGCACGGCAGCCGGTTGCCCAGCCACCGCACCAACCGTGCAGTCAACCTTTTACCTGCGATTTAGTCCATAGGAACTGTGAGCAAATACCAATTTTATGCATTTTGTCAGCACCTAAAAGTGCCTCAAGTCTACTGACATATACTCTTAGAACATCTCCAACTCATTGTTTGCTCTATAGTTCCAATATTCTGTACGTCCTCAGACTGTTCGTACAAAACTTTTATCATTATGGACTAAATCGTTTAGGAAGCATAGTCCAAAATAGGGCCAAATTGCCTGATATATTGTTACTATAGAGTCCTAAACTATAATTAAAAGTTCATTATTCAATCCAGTAAGGCAGTAACGAAGCAGTAGGTGAAATGGAAATGGGATGAAAACCATCTTTAAAGGCCAAATATATAAAATAATTAGTAACGGTTTCTCATTTGAGGAAATCCAAACAATTCGACCCAAATAAATAATTAAATACCTATCAATTAAATTTTTCGATAAAATATCTGTAATCCAAAATTTCGTCTTTTTGTAGATAAAAATTGACAATATAAACCGGATGGGTGCCGCCAACCAAATACTATCTTGTCACATTGCGTATTGTCGCGATGAACATTTTTAGCTTGTGCCTGCTTATTTTAAAAGTTGTGTTTTATAACACTTAACTCTATGTATGTGAGTGTTTAAACCTAATACGGTTTTATTAATCTTGATTGGTATTTATTAAGGACTTTACAATCTCGTTTCATAAATTTTAGTATACGCCGCATCCGGGGTGCCAGTCAACTCAAACATTTCTGAGAATGAAGTGAAGCCTTAGTTCATCGAGTTCCCCTGACGGTGACGGAAACATACAAAAGGTAAACCTCGACGCTGAGACTGTTTTTTATTTTTATAGTATGACCAAGATTTTATTTACTTTATATACTACAACTCTCGTAACACATATTAGGCTATTTATGTGTTCAGCGGGCTTACTCACGAAGTAGTACTATTTGTCGTGAGAACTCAACTGATTTCAAGCCACGCTAGGAGCTGATATTCATGAACAGTATTGCATAACGTTCACTTCATCGCGGTGGTGCGTCTACTGTGGCTTGGTACTAGTCGAATTCATTTGTAATAATGTTATGTGAGTAAGCCGTCAAACGTACAATCGATTTTAATCGATTTACGTAGTTCATTGGTTAAGTGTTAACCAATTTTTTATTCACTTAACTTAAAAAAAAATAACTTAACCACTTAAATTATTTATTACAAGTGAGCAAGAGATATCTTAGTAGATATACGTTTAAGTTAAGTGTTATTGGACTTTTACATTTTTGGTGTATTACAGGATCTGTAACTATAACCATATTATAAGTTTCAGTTTATCTGACGTACATATTATTTATATTTATACTGACTGCCTCGTTGGCCGAGTGGTCGCAATTGCGACTGCCGAGCAAGGGGTCTCGGGTTCGATTCCCGGGTCGGGCAAAGTATTACTGGGTTTTTAAAAATTCTCAGTAGTCGCACGGAGTCTGGAACTGTGCCCGGTATATGGCAATAGGCTCACCCCCTATTACATGGGACTCATAACATAAATAGTGAAAAGTGGGTGTTACATTGTACAGTGGTATAATGTGCACCTCTGCCTACCCTTTCGAGGATAAAAGGCGTGATGTTATGTTATGTTATGTGTCATATTTCATGATGACGAAAACATAATTTAAAATGTCACAAAATGTATGTGTGTAATACAAATTTCATATTATGTAATCTAAAATTAGAGGATTCATTTCAATGGAAGTCTGTATTAAGTAGCTCTTAGCTTAAATGACACAAATTTCAAATACCTACATCAAATTCATCATTACTTGTATGAACAAGCTTCTCTTCTCTCAAAATCTTGAAATTGGCTCTAGAATCACTTGTTTTGAGTTTCGTCACTCACGTAGTTTTAAAAATTTTTCATTAGAGGAAGAGTCCACTAATGACTTCATGCATGGACTTGGACTTGTGATTTTTACGCGCAAAGTAGACACATTTTGGCACGAATGGGCCAGCATAAATTTCGGCATGTGAGCTTATAATTCCTATGACATTGTAGGTGTCTATGAGTGGCTCCAATTCAATTGTTTCATACCGATTTCAGCCCTATCTCCCAACATAAAATAAGTTTAGCCAGAAAAGCAATAAATCTAAATCATGCTACACGTATGAACACTGACTCGACAACCGCAATAAGGACTATCATCTTCATACTGGCTTATTGCTGAATACTGTGGTGTAGGGATCTGCTAAACAAGTTCATGAGTATAACTGTCAAAAATGTACACTACGGTGGCATAGGTATCCTTTCACTAGTTATAAAAAAAATTACACCTTGGTGGTGTCACAAGAATGGCACTCATACATTTAACCTGTGAGAAATGTTCTGTTACAATGTTCACCTTTACTCTTCACCCTTTTGTCTAATAACTGCAAGGTGACATTTACGTATTTACGTAGATATATTATAAACGTTACTTGTTTTTTTTGACGCGTTCTACATTGGACTCTCCACGTTGTGGGGATGACCGGCTCAAACCATCACGGTATTCCTCCCCTGCCTGTGGTCATGACTCGGGATGCCCTTGCGGATTCACCGCACCCGACAAGCCTTGTAGCAACTCTTGAAGGCTGCTTTTCTTTCTCAAGTGGCGCGTGGAATACAATACTTACGCCTACTCCTATCCATACCGCCTCACCCAGGCGGGAGCAGTCATTCGATGATTTTCTCCCCTTAAAAAAAAACTCCTATCCATACAGCGGACGACTGCCTTCCCTAGTCACCCGCAGGTGTATTATATCCTATTACACAATCTGATGTAAACATCTGGCTTTATCTGGTTATTATATACATAATACAATTATTAAGACCCAAAACACATTAATCAATAAGAACAAGGTTCACGACTTTGTGAAAATAAGATTATAAACGTAATCACGTAAATCACTACTGATTGCTGATAAAATTAGATAATAAATAGCTCTGGTATTGGCAAAAATGCACTGCCTTCTACCTTTAGTCACGATGCGAAAGTCTCTCCTGTGCTTGCTAATTGCTGCGGGTAAGTACGGATTACTAAATAAAAGAAATAAATGATGATAGTGACATCTGTGTTTCATATGACAAACTTTAATGTACTAAATATTAAATTAACGAAAGAAAATTATCACATTGTCTTATTTATGACATTAATGATGTTATTACTAAAGTATTTGCTGTATTTTTTAATTATTTGACTACAGTAAAGAGTATTATGAACCAAAAAGTTCGGAACAGAAAAAAAAAGTTTTTATTTCTGAATCAAATCATTATTTTTTAGTTTACACTGCTTCGGCGGTGCCCGCCTCAGAATTGAATGAGCTGGTTAGTCCTGAGGATCGCACATATCCTCGATACATCGAGTTTCCCGATGGCGAGGGAAACATGCACACCGTGGACCTCGAGGCTGAACCTGACATGGAACTCCTCGCAGAAATCGAGAGGAATCCTGACAATAACCAGTACCTGTTGTATACAAGGTATAACAAAAAAAAAATATTGTCATTAAAGTCATTCTCAAAGTATTTTCAGCTATTCGGCATAAATATAATTATGTGAAAATCAGTTTAGGAAGTACAGTCTCGAAAAGGTCTTGAAAACATATTTTCATAATTTCCTAAAAATTTTAAGTTTCAGCAAACAATAAATATTTTTATATTTTGTTTACAGACGCAACCGAATTATATCTCAGACTTTGGTGATCAACAATGCCCTCTCCATCACTAGGTCTAACTTTAATGCTAATAATCCCACCGTAGTTGTCGTTCACGGTTGGCTCAGCAACCAATACACTAGCATCAACCCGACCATCAGGGACGGTAAGTTTAACTAAATCATCAACTACGAAATAATGTCAAAACAGATAAAATAAATCTAAATTAATGTCCAGCGTACTTGGGTAAGAGTGACACCAATGTCATCGTGATGGACTGGAGAAGATTGGCGTTAGCTGACTACGCCACAGCAGTCAGAGGGGTACCAGCCGTCGGCCGTGGTCTTGGACAGTTCCTGACTTTCCTTAACCGAGTGACTGGACAGCCTTTCAGTCAAATGCACCTTGTTGGATTCAGTTTGGGCGCCCATATTGTCGGTAACGCTGGAAGAGAGCTCGGAGGAAGAGCTGCTCGTGTTACAGGTAAAATATTGATGACTTTTGATTAATATTCTGTCGTATAAATTACTTTAGGTAATCATAAATATTTCTTTGTTTTTAGCTTTGGACCCAGCTGGTCCTCTATGGAACTACAACTCGAACCGTGTCAACCCTAATGATGGTATCTACGTCGAGGCTATCCACACAGACGGTGGTGTAGGAGGTCTTGGTATTGGCTCCAACGTTGCCAACGCTGACTTCTACCCCAACGGTGGCAACTCCCAACCTGCTTGTTACACCAGCCTTTGCAACCACAACCGTGCCTGGGAACTGTTTGCTGCTACTGTCACTTACAACCACTTGGTTGGACGTCTGTGCACCACTCAGACTCAGTTGACATGGAACAATTGCCGTGGTGCTGAACTTCGTATGGGCAACGATATCTTAACAAAATCTGGGTACGTAGTTACAATGTTATTACCTCCTTTTATGCAATCGCTTGAACTTGTGAGTTTAGAAGTGAAGAAATAGAGGGTTAGTGTTTATGAAAATGGAAAATTTGTTCAGATAATCCTAAGTATTGCAATCATCACTATTGTGACGTCATACCACAATTATTACGTTTCCACTGCAACGTTATCATTTGGATTGGGTTATGCAATGTCGCTTTATTACCGCTTCAAATTATTTATTTACTGACGTATGTGTTTTTATTTTCCAGATCCGGAATGTACCGTTTGGACACCGGTAGGAGGTACCCTTATTAAATTGATATTAATATTTCTATTTTGTAAATTTAGGAATAACAAATAAAATATTATTGGCATGGAACGTTTGGCATTTTTTTTTCTTTTTACCTTTTCACTTACTGGCACTTTTAGGAAATTGTTTTACTCCAATATTCTCTTGTTTTCCAAATGCAATTGAAGTTCCTCTGTTTATATGAAATATGCACTTTATTGCTTCCGTCAACGATAACTAACATCGTGACGTCATCAAAATAACTTTAAAAGGGTGAGTGAAAGATCAGAGAACCCGCATTAAAAGGACAAACTTCGCATTAAAATGACAACATTGAAAATATAATGAAACTAGCCTATTAGCCGAGTGGTTGCAAGCGCAACTATTTACAAGGGATCGATTCGATTCCCAGTTCAAAAAGAATTTATTTTGTTAAATTGGTTTATAGATCAAAAATATGACAGGATAATCTAAAACAGTGCTCGATGTATCTACAAAAAAAAGAAAATCAAAAGACTCTAATAGGACTCACAATGAAACTGGTAACAAATTAGTGCCACAATGTAGGTACACATAAGCATTGACAATATTATACTTCTCAACGCACAACAAACTATTTAGCGGTAATATCTTGCATGTCTGATTTCTCGGTTTATGTAAACGCATGTTTGTTTCTTTCTTTCTTTCTTTCTCTGCACACCCTTTACAAGACATGATGTTATGTAGTACAGAATAAAGAAAACTGAATATTCTCGACTTTTTATTTACCAGGAGTATTTTCTTACACAGTTTACGCTGGTATTATTTTCATAAATCTTTATTTATACGTGCGACATACGCTGCGGTCTCATCGAGTATTAATTTTTATGAATGACTACGATGACAAATAATTGACGTCACAGTTAGGTAGACAAACATGATTATAATCTTCATATCGGAAAATTAAAGTTTCTAGAACAAACTTGCTTCTTTATCATGAGTTGGGTTTGAAAAATTAACGAAGCGCTTGAATTACAAATTGCGTAACATTCTGCATACAATAGATATGTACCACGACTAATGGTGAAACACAATATACACTATTAAATAAAACTTCGAACCTTTAAGAACATAACATTACGCCTTTTATCCCCGAAGGGGTAGGTAGAGGTGTACATTATGCCACTGTACAATGTAACACCCACTTTTCACTATTTATGTTATGAGTCCCATGTAAGGGGGTGAGTCTATTGCCATATACCGGGCACAATTCACGACTCCGTGCTACTACTGTGAATTTTTTGAAAAACCCAGTAATACTTTGCCCGACCCGGAAATCGAACCTGAGGTCCCTTGCCCGGCATTCGCACTTGCGACCACTCAGCCAATGAGGTAGTCAACCTTTAAGAAATTAGCATAGAAACCTTTTTAAAAGACCTGCAATGTACTTGTGTTGACTTGGTGTTGTAATTGTCTATGGGCGGCTATAATCGCCTTTTAAGCATTGGTCTATAATCTTGTTTGCCCTCTACTCCAAAAAAAAATTAACAAACTATTTAAGTGTGCCCTCGTTCGGGAAGGAGGGTTCTTCAAAAATGGCCATCATTTTAATTGCAGTTTAACAGCGAGTTGAGCATTTAGAACTCAATACGCAACCAAACGCAGTATGCACTACGTTAGCATTTTTTGAAGCTAATATTTTAAGAAAGGGTATGTCATAATCCCCGCGCTTGGTAGGTGACTTGAGAATCACAGTTAGGGCTCGTGTGTACGATGCCTTATGTCAACAAAATTTTAAGGGATCATACAGAGAGGTGGATTGTAATCCCACGGAGGACTTAACGAGTTGCCAGAGCTCTGGTTTGAAGTGCAGGAGTAGGAACGGGATGGTTTTTAGTCAGTAAGAACCTGACACTCCCTCCCAGCTCACCTAGGCGGGAGAAGTAATTCAATGATTTTCCCCGCATAAAAAAAAACAAAAAAACCTTGTAGCGATATCACGACCCCACAGAAAACCGATGTGACCGAAGTTACCGGAGACCCATTTACCTCCCTCCCCAATCCCAGAATCCCCAACAAGCATCTAAAACTTAATCCCCAAAAGGCCGGTAACACACCTGTAACACCTCTGGTGTTTTGGATGTCCATAGGCGGCGCCGATTGCTTACCATCAGGTCATACGTCTGCTCGGTTACCGGCTTATATCATAAAATAATATTGTTTTATGAGAATAAGAAATAAATTATTATTTTTTTTATGCATAAAGCTATTGATGTAATAAGTAGAAAATTAAATACAAAATGACGTCTAAAAATATTCAATGGTAAAAATAATATTACAAACATAAAATGAACCAAACGTGTATCTCACAAGACGAATTCAAAGAAATGAACTGACACAAATACTTTATCATCATTAGGTGAAGAAAACAATTAATTTGTCACTAATTATGTAATTATACTTTCATATACCTACCTAGGACTAGATTAATCCACCAAAATCAACCAAAACTTTGCAAATCCGTTCAATGAAAAGATAAAAATTTGTAATCAAGCAATCTTTTCATTTTGGCTGATAAGTTCCTGAATAAATAGCCTATGGGGGCTCTTCATTCAAGACTTACTGGAAGTCGTTGTCACAATGCATAAGTCTCTGTTGTGCTTGCTCATCGTTACGGGTATGTATTATGAAATTTCATTAGATAATACTAGTATTACTTTATATTCGTTTTAGATTTAGATTTTCTAAATGTTCTTCTAATTTTTTATTGTATTCAAGTGTTAATAGTTAAGACACCTTCAAATCAAAGGTGTTCCACGTTTTTGAGGATAAAAATTAATAATGTTATGAAGAATAAACGTCTAATTCATGCAATAGATTTATAGCCAATTTAACGGGGCCTTGATAACCACTATTACTTCAAGCATTTTTCTATAAGTTTTCAGAAGCTGTCATTTAGAACGCAAATATTTACATAAATGTTTTTTTCCAGTTTACGCCGCATCAGCGGTTCCCGTTAACTCAGATTACTCTGAGGACAGAGCGTACCCTCGATTCATCGAATTCCCCGATGGCGAGGGTGTCATGCACACAGTAGACCTCGAGGCTGAGCCTGACATGGAACTCCTCGATGAAATCGCAAGGAACCCTGCCAACAATCAATACTTCCTGTTTACGAGGTATATTCTTAAAGATTAAGATCTTGCTATAAGAAAAAATCTATCTCATAGTTCCTCATAGTTTCTCCAATCAATATTGTCACAATGTACACCCTTAAAAACTGTAATAAGTATTAATTTCAATCAACCGAAAGAGTTCAGTAACACGAGCGTAAAACGTTCGTTCAATTTTCGGAAAAATAAGTTCAATTTTATTAAAAATTTCCAATTATTTGGCGACATTTTTGGAATCTGGTGTACCTAATAAATTAAACATACTGTAACAAAACATTCTCGTTCTTTTACAGACGTAACCCCAGTAACTCTCAAACTTTGGTGATCAACAACGCCAATTCTGTCACCAACTCTAACTTCAATGCTAACAACCCCACGGTGGTCATTGCTCACGGCTGGCTCAGTAACCAGAACACCGACATTAACCCTACTATCAGAGATGGTAAGATTTTACTATTTACTCATATTAAATTGTATCCTAAATAGATTAAAGTACAAATTTCATCAACCTATAGTCCATCTGTTTAGGTAATTAACTAAAGGTAAACAAAGAAAACCACGTGACACAGAGATACTTAACCTACTATTACTTCAAATATTTCTCGTGTTTTAATTTTAACTAAATTCACTTTAAAATCGTTCATTTGTCATACACACACATACAAGTACAAATGCCTAAATCGTACAAGAGCCTAGTCTATGGGTCTATATCATTATCATGTTTAAATAGAAACTATTCTGAATCTGATGTACGGATTTCTTTCTTGTACGGATATCTGTCTTTGGGCCAAGTTTCTTCAATATATTTGAACACATTAATTACAAACGATGAATAACCTAAACTTAAATAACTTAATAACAAAAACAAAACAAAGAAACAAGTTAAATTCAACAAAATAGGAACGCGAGCGCAAACGACGAGAGAGCTGTCAATGGCGCCTGATTAACCGACTAAACGTAATACACGCTACTTTCATTGTCGCGCTACATCTTCGTTGCACTCTTTAATTTGACAACATTATTTTGCTTCGTTCTTAAAGAAACGTTTTGGATACCTGGGATTTTAGGCTCTTTATGGTGTCTATTGTAATGAAATATTATATTATTTAATAAATATTATTAAATTAGTATCCTCAAGCAGATATATTTAATATGTATTAAGAAATAAGTGAAAAGGAACAGAAACATAACATTTAATAGAGAAAACTGTCGTAAAAAGGGAAACAATTTTATTTTCTTATGAAGTACTAGCTTCTGCCCGCGACTTCGTACGCGCAATCCCGATATTTCCCGTTCCCGTTCTTGATTTTCGGTTAAAAGTAAAAAAAAAGAGTTGTGTAAAAAGTATCCTATGTCCGTCTCCTGGTTCTAAGCTACCTCCCTGCCAATTTTCATCCAAATCGAATTAGCCATTCTTGAGTTATAAATAGTGTAACTAACACGACTTTCTTTTATATATATAGATTTTGAATCATGGAAATGTCAACTATAAAGAACTCTTTTTATGGTTTGTTTACAAATAGTTAACTACCTAAACAGACGGAGTATAGGTGAGGTTGATGAAATTTGTACTTTATATAATTAATATTACTATTTTTCTCAGCTTACTTAGCAAAGAGCGACACAAACGTAATTGTTCTGGACTGGAGGAGACTTGCTCTTGCCGATTATGCTACAGCAGTACGAGGTGTCCCTGATGTTGGACGCGGTCTTGGACAGTTCCTCGCTTTCATAAACAGAGTCACCGGACAGGCTTTCAACCGTATGCACCTTGTCGGCTTCAGCTTGGGCGCTCACCTTGTCGGTAATGCTGGTCGTGAACTTGGAGGAAGAGCCGCTCGTGTGACAGGTATACATTTATTACCATTTTTATTTAACAACACCCATTTGTTTAACTACGAAGACATTTTTATTAAAATTACATTTTATTTATAGCTTTGGACCCTGCTGGTCCTCTATGGAACTACAACTCCAACCGTGTTAACCCCAATGATGGTATCTACGTCGAGGCTATTCACACTGATGGTGGTTACACCGTCGGAGGTCTTGGTATCGGCTCTAACGTCGCTAATGCTGACTTCTACCCCAACGGTGGTATCTCCCAGCCTGGCTGCCTCACCAACATTTGCAACCACAACCGTGCCTGGGAACTCTTTGCTGCTACCGTCACATACAACCACTTGGTTGGACGTTTGTGCACCAGCTCTACTCAAATCACCTTGAACACATGCCGTGGTGCTGAACTTCGTATGGGCAACGACATCTTAACAAAAACTGGGTAAGTAGTACACTGTTTTGAATCCTTCCTTTTTAGTAGGTACCTTGTGAAAAACTAAATTGAAAGTTAATAATAAAAATGCTATTATTTATGAATTATGAAAATAAAATATCTGCTTTTGTTTCTATTAGTACCTAAAGCTGGAAAGACGCAATTGATTTTTAATGATCATGACAATTAATTTTCTTTGCAATACGATGAAGGTATTTTTGGCATTATTAATTTAGAGATATGATAAATTGCGGATGATGGATGTAATTAATATCTACTTATGTCAAATGTACTTTTAATGAGTTTTCTTTTCTTTTCAGTTCTGGAATGTACCGCCTGGACACCGCTAGAAGATATCCATTTTAATTGACTTGATGAACACACGAATCTTTGAAAAAAGTACCTTACCTTTTCATTTGTTTTAAAAATGAGAAAATTAAAAATTGAAATTAAAAATTTGTACTGACAATTCATTTGTTTCATTGTTTTGTAAATGTCGATATGCTATGTATACAACGTGTAGAAGTGGTTATCACGGGCAAATTATTTGATTTTTATACCTATACCTACTTTATAATAAATCCCTTGTATCGTTAAGTCTGACACGAAGTTTCTGATAAGAAGTACGTGGGTGATTAGATTTGACTAGTTTTGTAAAATTGCAATCAATTAATATGTGTAGCTGTCTAAAAACATTAAAAAGACAATCGTAATACTGACTTGCTAAATTAATAGTGTTAGCTTTTTTCTTCACTAGATGGTGCTAATGTAGTACGAGTTCACACTTGTGCACGTCTCGCAGCTATTAAAAAAATATTATACAATGGATTGAAACTAGGATTACGCAATTAATAATGAGATAATAATGGAGCCAAGACACAAACATTATAAATTTACCTGTCTTCTGGTCAAGCAGCCAGCGATGAGGAAAGGTATTCTTGGGGCCTAGCTTAGATTGAGTAATGATGATATCTGCAAATAGGCAAACGGTTGTTTGCAAGGACATGAAGATCGAGCTCAGTGGTGTGATATTAAAGGAACCTCAAGTTCAGCAGAAGACGAAACTAAGCTGACGATGATGATAATGACCCCTACCTATGTACCTAATTAATAATGTATCAAATAACCTACAAATTGTGTAGTTCAAATATTGTTAGAATGAAGGCCCAATTACCCCCCCCCCCCCCTCCTTTCCCCAATCCCTGAATTCCCAACAATCCTCAAATCCCGGTAACGCACTTGTAACGCCTCTAGTGTTCCAGGTGTCCACGGGCGACGCCGATTGCTTACCATCAGGTGATCCGTTTGCTAGTTTACCGGGTTATTCCATAAAAAAAAACGTTGTCTATCGTTCATTTTAATCACCGATGCACCAGTTTGTAATTTTCGTCACTGCATCATTATATTTGAAGGTCAAAGTCATTATCAATGTCTACGACATTTTGATTTTCGTTTGTGTAATTTTAATGCACAATGACAATTGTATTAAGTACCTTATTATCTCTATTATCAGCAATGACTACTGGCATCATAAAGACAGCTTGTATTTTGATTGTTTGTAACAATGGTCTACTGCGACTTTTAAATTAAAATTAATTGTTACTTTTACTATAGAGGCTAGCTGCTTTATACACCTTAAACTGTCAAACACCGCGAGGACACCGGTGACCGCAACCTATTGTTCTTTAATTGTGTCCATAATGACGGTACTCAAAGAGTTAAGAGATTTATCCAAAATTTTTGTTTGCTGCTACCGTCACATATTGGAATTAAAAAAAAGGATTGACTTAAATGCCCGACTCATTGAATTAGGCTATCGTTTTCAATTTTAGAGTCTAAAGATGATGTAATTGAATCGTTTCTGAAGTGATTCTACGTACTTGTAATGCTTCTGGTGTTATTTAGGCTTGTAGGATACTGGAGAAGGTATTTTTTTTTTCTTTAAATATATTATAAATTTTCTATATTCCATAAAAGTTTAGCTAAATATGTAAGTAACAGCATAATTTAAGGCAAACTAGATTTCGTTGTCTAAAAGACATGTCCTATAATTTATTAGTCGGACCACAACATTTTCTTCGATATGACCGATAGTCTAATCAAAACTAGGCCCCAGATGTAATAGATAATATCCATTTGTTACAACAACTTTATCTTTACCTTGACGCGAAAATCTTTATCTTGTAAAGCAAAGACATGGAAATATTGCCTACTAGACGCGAATACGTTATTAACATCTTTAATCTCGTCTATACCTAACAAAATATCCAAAATTTATCGTAAAACCCGGAGCGTAGTGGGCTAATTGGTTAATCTACTCATGAGATTATATCGTGATTGTTAAAATGATAACTTCTGAATAAATAGTGCTGTGTTGTTGAAAATGAAATCACACAGTCATTAAAATTCGAAAAATGAAGGCGGCCCTTCTATGTCTCTTTGTCGCTGCGGGTAAGTTTGATCGTATTTTTTTTAAAGTCAAGAAGTGAAATCAGACAATACATTTCAATTAATAAATAAATACATTAAATATTGATGACATTGATGATGAAAAAAGCAAATGGAGAATTTTTTCATACTAAATACGATTGTTGACGTTTCTAGCATATACCGCATCTGCGGTGCCGGTAAATTCGGAGTTCTCTGAAGACCGTGAATACCCACGGTTTATTGAATTTCCTGATGGCGAAGGTATCATGCACACCGTGGACTTAGAAGCTGAGCTAGACCATGAACTTCTTAACGAAATTTCGAGAAACCCAGCTAACAATATTTATTTGTTATACACAAAGTAAGTTCCAAAACTTAATACTTATTTTAGATCATACTTTAATAAGACAATACAGACAGGAAAGATTTTATACTGAACGTTTACGTATGAAAGTAATTTTAATATTTTACGACAATTTGCTGCCTTTAGATCTAACCAAATATTTTTCATAACCTTTTTCATAAAAGGTTAGCAGTATACTATTTCTGATTTAGATGTATAGAAATCTCATGATTTCAAGTCTACTCTTATTTATTGCTACAGTATGACAGTATTATGATCGACCAAATTTTTGTTACAGACACAACCCCCACTCGCCTCAGACATTAGTGATGAACGACATTGCTTCCATCTACAACTCCTACTTCAATCCCCATGTGCCAACCGTCGTTATTGCCCACGGCTGGCTCAGCAACCAAGAAACCGACATCAATCCAACTATTAGAGACGGTAATACACTTCAATAAAAAAAAATCGTATTACAGTTATATATTTTGTTTGCATTCAGAGCAAGAACTTGGACTAAATCTATTTTATTTTCGTTTTTCAGCTTTGCTTGATAAGGAAGACGTCAACGTGATCGTTTTGGATTGGAGAAGACTTGCATCTTCCCTTTACAATACTGCCGTCAGAGGAGTACCAGCTGTTGGTCGAGGCCTCGGACAATTTTTGAATTTCGTGAACTTTGTAACAGGAGCACCTTTCGACTCTATGCACCTGGTTGGCTTCAGCTTAGGTGCTCACCTTGTTGGTAACGCTGGTCGTGAACTTCAGGGAAAAGTTGCTCGTGTCACAGGTAATATTATAGCTATTGTGTCTCACTATTCATTCCAGTGTATTCCTATGTTTATAATGTAAACTTAGAATGTCTGTGACAATTCACATCATTTTGTCTTTTTATCGCTAGCTTTGGACCCTGCTGGTCCTCTATGGAACCTTAACTCCGATCGCGTTAAGCCTGGAGACGCTATTTACGTCGAGGGTATCCATACTGATGGCGGTTATACCGTCGGAGGGCTTGGCATCGGCTCCAACGTTGGAAACGCTGACTTCTACGTCAACGGTGGTATCTCCCAACCTGGCTGCATCACTAACATTTGCAACCATAACAATGCCTGGAGATACTTTGCTGCTACTGTCAGCTACAACCATATTATTGGAAAGGAGTGCTCCAGCTCCTGGCAAATTACTTGGAACAGCTGCAAAGGCGACGACCTTCCCATGGGAAACAACGATCTAAGGAAATTTGGGTAAGAGTTTCGGCCATTACGTAGATGCAAATTTTGACCCTTACGTTAGAGTGACTAATTACAGTAATGACTCATTAGTAAATTCTTATTAATAATCACATGGTCGTGACCTACGAGTGTCTATCTATAAAGGAAAATGTGCACAAAGATAAAGAAAATCCGAATTTCGTGTGCATGAATCGTGTAATTGGTGGATAATTTACGTCAATCAGAGATTAACAGTAATCATTTTTTAATCTTTTCCTTTTCTCTTTTACAGTTCTGGAAGATTCCGCGCAAACACATCCAGGAGATATCCTTACTGATCTATTTATTTACATTAGATTTTAATAAAACAGACTGCTTACATTCCTAAGTTATATTGTGTTTGATTTACGTTATGTATAAAGCACGTTATGAAGAACATTGTGGAAATTAAAAAAAACTATTGTACAATTTCTTTATTTTTAGTACCTACTGCGTGATTTAGAGAGAATTTGTCATTCAATCATATATCGACAATATATATCAAATATTTACAATATCCACAAACAGGCTGCTACGCAACGTGTTGAAGGTTCAATGACCGGAAAGAAGAAGCATTTTTGTATTATCTACAGACATCTGATTGAAATCTGAATATATGACCTGATATATATTTTGAGTTTGTAAACACGGGACAATTGAGAAAATCATAATTGACATTAAATAAAGTTGCATTATATTAATAAACCAACTTTATCAAAGGAAAATATTCGATGATTGTTGTAATAGAATTACCAAGATAAGAGATAAAAATCAAAGACGTAGTCGTAAATGGTAAATACCCTACAAAGGTATTTAATAACAAATTTTGAATGATTTCCGCACAATCAGACTCATAATCCCTAGGCAGGTAGTACTGATTGGCGATTTAGCGATAATTAAAGACGTCATGGTTGATACTCATAGAATTTATTATTTACCATTTCACTAAATGTAGTATTTAATGCCTTGTTTTACCAAAACTAAATTCAATGAATGAATTGAATGCAGTTTTCATGATTTATACTGAAAAATAACTTACTGAAGTTCTTAATCTGAGGTATTGTTTATAAAATTAATTTTAAATTTTTTAATTATTCTTTCTAATATACATTTAAAATATATAACTTGAAAACTACTAAACAAAGAAAATATAAGATAAACAAAACTAAAATAACTATTTACAAAGAGCGTCAAAAAATTCGTCCGTATCAACGTCAATAGGGAATGTTCCCAGAAGCCTGGTAGCATTGCCATGTTAAAAATCCATTTTAAAATGAAACAAATATTCCTACGTAGGTAGTCAGAAGACAAGAAAGCAGTTCATATTTCGTAATATCGTACGATATGATTCTGTAGGAATATTAAACGAATCGCCATCCATTTTAGTACAATGCCTCATATTAGTAAACTGCTTAGGTGATCAAAAAGATTGAGAAAATAATAAATCCAATATTTGTATACAAAACTGTATTCAGTATTAAATCAAAATATTGTCATTAGTATGGATAAGTTCTTCCGGTGTCCAAGCGATACATTCCCGATCTGAAATTGACAAGGAAAATTGTAGTTATGCCCTAAATTATAAAATACAACTTCAGCATAATATCATTATAAGCTTATTATCATAATATTATTTCTGGAAAAGATTAGCTAATTACTTTTTATGAAAAATATAAAACATCTTACCCAGTTTTCCTCAAATCATCATTGCCCATACGGAGCTCATTTCCTCGGCATGTATTTGTAGACACTTGAATAGAATTGGAGCATTGTCTTCCAACAAAGTGGTTATAGGTGACAGAAGCGGCAAAGAATTCCACAGCACGGTTGTGATTGCAAAGGTTGGTGCTGCAACCAGGTTGAGAGACTCCTCCATTAGGATAGAAGTCTGCATTCGCTACATTCATGCCAATGCCTAGAGCACCAGCACTTGAGCCACCATCAGTATGGATAGCTTCAACGTAGATCCCATCGTTAGAGTTGACACGGTTGGAGTTGTAGTTCCACAGGGGACCAGCTGGGTCCAAAGCTAAAAATAAAATACTGATTGGAGTCGTTAATGAAACCTAATAGTCTGATTCAACTTCTTAGGGATTCCTTATAGAGATATCTATGTATTTAAAGATAAGTATCTATTATTAGAAGTATTTGAATCTTATGCTACTAAAGTCATACCTGTGACGCGAGCAGCTCTGCCACCGAGTTCTCTGCCAGCATTACCAACCAGATGAGCACCCAAACTGAATCCAACAATATGCATGGAATTGAAGGCAGCTCCAGTCACTCTATTGAGGAAATTAAGGAACTGGCCAAGGCCACGTCCAACAGCTGGCACTCCTCTAGTGGCTGTGACGTAGTCCGATGCAGCAAGACGTCTCCAGTCCAGTACGATGACGTTCACGTCGCTTTTCCGAAGGTAAGCTGTGGTAATGAGAAACAAAGGTTTTAAATGTGTACTTTCGAGAATCATTGTATTTTTTTTAAAAGTCCGTTTATTCAATTTGTTTACTGTAAGTGTCTTTATCTCCAATTTATTACTGAGTTCGAAGAAAATTTTATCAATAAACTAAATTCAAATAAAATCAGAGTTAGTGAAAAGTTATGAAAATTTTCAATAAACAAGACTATACTCGCTTTATTTGATTCACAATTGATGTTTCTGTTCCACCAACTGGAAAATATAGTCAATATTGTTTGTCATTGATTTATAAGATGAACAAAACGTGATTACGTATGAGTTTAATATCGAAAATATTATTTGATTCAGCGAATGTGAATTTTGTACGGTGATGTTTTACTATCAAACATCATTTTGTTTTACGATCTCTACCCCGCTTAGCAAAGATGGGGATTATGGCCAACCCCTCTTATTTAAAAGAGACTTATAGTTCCATAGTTTATAAGTAGGTATACTATTTTAAAATAATGATGATAATGATGCTTACAATTTGTGACCAATGAAATAATTAAATTACCGTTTCTGATGATGTAGTTTGTAGAAGTAAACTGGTTGCTGAGCCAACCGTGAGCAATGATTACAGTCGGTCGGTTGGCGTTGAAGTTGGATCTTGTGATAGAGTTAGCATCATTCATCACAAGAGTCTGAGAGACGATCTGGTTCCGCCTGTGAGAAGAAACGAAATACGGTCATTTACCTTATTGAAATATTACGATTGCTTAGTGTAAAAATATTTTCTAATGATTTGCTTTGTTTAGACGACTGAATTTTAATAGCCTTAAAGAAAAGAAAAAATTACAAAACCTAGTAACTTAAGTAAACGCAAGGCAGAATTTTGTTGATGTTAAAATCCGCCAGTCTATAGTAGAAATGTGGGACTTTCGTAATCATCTTTTTCCACACAATATTAACAAATTATTGAACAACAAAAACACTCAAATATACCGTATAACAATACTATTATTTATTACTAATGAAAAACACACAGCTAATACGTATTAAAGTTCCCAGAAGCACAGTTATCATTAGATTTCTTTTCCCTTTTACAACTCCCAAGAGAGCAACTTCATTCGCGTCTGCGTTCATTGATAACTTTACGAGACAAAGGAAAAACTGCAGACCTCCATAGTCTTTTAGATTAATGTTGCTTTTTATTTTTCGAAATGTTTACAATTGTTTCAAAATGAAAAGGGCAAGTTTGAGTGTCACTCTTAATGAATAAACATAAGTAGGCAGATATTGAGTGGGTAATGATGGCGTGCAGTATTTGTTTACGGTGTTACCTTTACTTTAAATAATAATTAATGAAAACATTTTTTGATATAAAAAAAATGTATTTCATTCTGGTTTAAAGAGTTTTGTATCCAAGACGTCCATTAGTTTGTCTTTTTGACGTTCAACAAAATACTACACTTTTTTTAGTATTTTGTTCAAATGCATTGAAACGCTTTTTATGGAATTATATTAGACCAAAAAATAAAACCAGTAACGTTGCATTAGGGATTTTCCCAAAACCTTGTTTCTACAAACCTAGTGTAAAGCAGATACAAATTGTTCGCCGGATCTCTGCTTATTTCATCAAGGAGTTCCATATCAGGTTCAGCCTCAAGGTCGACTGTGTGCATTACTCCTTCCCCATCAGGCATTTGGATGTATCTTGAGTATTCATGTTCTTTCTCTGGTTCCGCTACTGGTACCGCGAAAGCAGTATAAGCTGAAATGACACATTTTTTGTATATGAGACTTCAATGAAATCTTTCAATCTTTGAATTATAATCCAATGTCCATCTTAAATGCATGTTATATAATCCAATTAAATTATAATGAACTTTGTTGCAAAATAATTGTTCAGAGATTGCGTCTAAGACATCATCTTCTTTATTTTTATCTGAGATATCTTCTTTGCTATCTTTAAAACACTAATTGTATCGTAAAAGCGAATAATACAGCTGAAGATATCATCATCATTGACATCTTCATATCATTGGTCATTTATCTTGAGATTTCATTGATAATATTTGTAATCTCATTTCTCATCCTTGTCTCAAATGTTAACATCGACACAACAAATATTATCTTACTGACTTTACGTGAGTGGTGTTTAGTTCTCAACATCGAACGCGTTCATCAACTACGTGGTCAATTTCATTTTTTACTCCTAAACTTCACCTTATACATATCTTAAACTCTTTTTAACTTGTGTCTTTGCTTTTATTTATAAGTGTTCAGTGTTCAGTGTGTTGTATACACTAGAATTGAATGAATTCTTACCAGTCGCAATAAAGACCAACAGGAGGACCTTCTGCATTGTTCAAACACAAACACATAACAAACTTGTCATAACTTGCTTATTTATCTTCCTAGGCGTTTGTTTTATCTTTAAATGACAGTGTTATCACTATAATCTTATCACTGCCAAATTGTAAATTGCATCTTCTAGGTAAACCTACATTGATTCTTGGATTATAGATTAATGAGTCACTTAATAGTATTATGTGTGTTTTTGTGTATAATCAAAGAATGTTCTGGGTTTGTTTATTGTTTTTTCGAACATAAGTAAATATTAAAACTTCATTTAAATTTTAACCTTTCTTATGTCTAAACACAGTCTACGCGAGACACAATGTATTTTCTATTGTGTCTTATATCGGTGCATTCAATCGTTTAATACAGATAAAGATGATTTATTTGCAAATATAGTAAGTTAAACTAGACTTACGTGGGCATGGCTATATCATGAAAATAATATAGAAGTTAGATGGACTGATTACATAATTTTCCCATAGTTTTGTCGTAGGCATATTATACCATTGATAAAACTGATTTTATTTTAGCATGCTAAAACAACCAGCAATTGATAAAATTGCCACGAGTTTTGACTAGATTTGGCTGAATATCTATCTTACTAAAGTTGTATTATTGTAATACATTATTTGCTAAAACGAAAGCATCAAATAATAATGTTTATTATAAAAATCAGTGACCCATATAGACAAAACACACTTCATCATCATCAACAGCCTATAAAGGTCCACTGCTAACCTAAGGCCTCTTCTCGCCCGGAGAAATTTTGTGCATTAATCACCACGCTCGCTCAATGCTGGTGAGCGACTTCAAAATTATAATTAGAAAATATAAGTTCAGGTTTTCTTCACACAGTTTTATGTCACCGTTTATAAGTGGTGTCTAGATAATCTTAGTTTTAGAAAGTACATATAACTCGGAAACAGTTACATTGGTAATTGCCGTTGGTAGGTTTCGACCGCACTCTCAGGCATGACAAGAAGGCGTCTTAAACCTCCGAGCCACTACGACATAACAAACTTAAATACGAACTTCTTGATACCTAAATATTAGATAGATATACCACACCTAAAATAATATCTTTTCTTTATACCCACCTCATAAATAATACATAGATAGCAAGCTATCTTTACCTAGCTTTACAAGATAATTGAACATTGATTTTAATACCTATTGTAATAAGTCGTAATATACTTAGTTATATCGTATTATTGGATTACTGTATTCTTTTTATTTGTAAGTACTTGACAATGATTGATGACTAAAGGTAATGCAATGCCTTAAATAGTTACCTATAGGTAAAAATAGTTACATTCGGTGAAATTAGGTATAATTATTAAATCTGTCATGAAAATCCATGAAGCGTAATACTACAGCGCTAATTTTTATGAAAGTTATTTGTTACGTAATAGTATTTTCTGTTATCGCTTTAAATTAAGTTGTTTTTGATGCAAACTTTTTTTATCCTAAACAGATACTTATTTTTAACTGACTAAACGTTATGTAGGCATCAACACGTTTAAAATACTATATACCTCTAGAAATTACAAGATAATTCATTACTAATATGTATGTAGCTCAAGAGTATTTGTTTGAATGCGCTAATCTGCGAAACTACTGGTTCGAAATAAATGATGAATTCTTTTGATTTGGACAGCCCATTTATTAACGGCAACTATAGACTAAGATATATTAACATCACACTACGATCAATATAGCCTATAATCAATGTATTTTACCAGAGATGAACTATGCACTCTCACTGTGGGCCTTATAAAGAAACTCAAGGTCGCTCAGCGCGCTATGGAACGCTAGCTATAGCCATACTTGGAGTTTCTTCACGAGATCGGATAAAAAATGAGGAAATCCGCACACGAACAAAGGTTGTCGACATAGCCTTGAGTGGCAAATGGCAGGGCACATAGCGCGGAGAACCGACAGCATATGGGGCAGAAAGGTTCTCAAGTGGAGGCCACGTACCGGCAAGCGCAGCGTTTGACGCAAGGTGGACAGACGACCTGATTAAGGTCGCAGGGAGCAGCTGAATGCAGGTCGCTTCCAACCGGCCTATCTGGAAATCATTGGGGGAGGCCTATGTGCAGCAGTGGACGCCCTGTAGCTGATATGATGTTAACTACGATCAATAGGGCCCGATCAGTGCAGGTAACACCGCATGGGAATAGCTAGTTCAGTAATATTTCCTTGATTGAACAATGTATATTTTTTTTATATAACAACGTTTATTACCATCCGTTTGTTATTGAAAAGAAACAAGTACTGAAACATTTTCATGTTTCACTAACGGTTTCATCAATCAAATAGACAAAAATAAACAAACAATACCTGTTTATATTTTCATATTTAATAAAGGACTTGATTATCTACAGACGTTACTACGCAATTTCTTCACTATCGAAGCTTATAGACTAATTAAACTCTAAAAATAGTCAAACGGATTTTCATTAATCTGCTTAAGGGATTGAAAATATAATTCGCAATAAATAATGATTAATGGTTCAATAATTACGACTATGAGTACTATAATTAGTGTCACTCATTAGATACGTTTCGATTATATCTTGAGTAATGAACCTTGTACTAAAGAGATCAAAGTATTATTTAAGTTTAAGTACATTCGGTACACTGGATAGACAAAGGATTGTCGGCCAAAATGTATGGGCGACGCACCTACGTCACCTACGACACAGCTCTAACCACTTCTTTTTAGATGGTATCATGGCAACAATTCGACCTAACAAAAACATGTAACAACACAACATATAGAGAACCCTTTTTTTAAGGGGGGAAAATCATCGAATGGCTGCTCCCGCCTGAGTGAGGCGGGAGGGAATGTCAGACTCTTACTGACTAAAAACCACCCCGTTCCTTTTCATGCACGTCGAGCCGGAGCCCCGGTTACCCGTTAGGTTCTCCGCGACTCCGAATCGGCATTGGCCCTGCTGGGCTCCATCTGTGGTGGTCTGATGGATATAGAGAACCCTAGAGCGGAATTTATTGCACTTTGGCACAACGAACCATGGCTGTGTTACCTTACAAACAGTAGCATTCAAATCTGGAGAAGACATGAGTGCACCGCCGATATATATAATAAACATACAGCTTAATCTAACAAAAACATGTTAATGTACAGAAAACCCTGCAACAGAATTTGATGAGCACACTGTAGCTAGTAACAGAAGTAGTCTGAGCCGTGGCAGAGCTGGGTGTATTTTGCCCACTGTCTTTTACATAATTGAGATTATATTTCTACCACCTCAAATCTACACCATAAAAAAGCTAAATATCTATGAAGAAGAAGAAAACTAAATCTTTGATAAGCAACATTCAGCAAATCTATCAAAACTGTCTAATGAGAAAGAAATGACATAAAAGTTGGCAAAGTGACGATTATACCTGACGAAAAAAAAAATTTTCAACATACATGAAATTGCCAAATGTACTGAGCATGTACAGAAGAATACAAATAGTAATCTTCACATTGTAACTCAAAACAAACTAAATAAAGAACATTTTCCCTTGAAGTGTTGATTGTAACAAAAGTAAAAGTGTTGATTATCCTTAAAAGTAAACAATCTTCAAGCTCTTAGTTCCACCACGTCCATCATTGAAGAACTCACTAAAACAAGAAAATGAAAAAAGTTTTTCTTTAATCAACGACTGCTCAGTGACCACTAGTTCTTGGTTCAAAGTTTTTTGTAAAGATAACTTAGAATTATGTTCCCAACGTCTGTCATATTTCACGTCCAGTGCAGTTTGAAAATGTTTTTGATGAAAGTTAATTATAATTTTCAGTACAATTGAGTGACTTGTGACTTCCAGCTCGGATTAATTGTTCTGTAGTATTTCCAGGATTTATGAACCTGTACAATTTTTGCTCCTGTTTACAATTTAATTTTGATATAAAGTTTAAATGGAATGTGAAGACCATTTATTGCTGTGAAAATATCCAAACTTTCATTTACTTGAATGCTGTATACAAGACACGCAAAGAAGATATTACAGGCAGGCTAAGGTACTAATTGACTATCTTCCAAAATATCTTCAAGACATTCTCCAAATAACTACGCATTTCATAAAGTCCAAAACAAAACAAACACAATTAATCCCCCACGTAGAGATAGCGTACAACTAAGCTTAGTAATCAAATCACATCAAGTGTCTACGTTTGCGTTTCAATACTAGTCTAACGAGTTTTGTAATGTGGTGGTACAACGTGAACCAAATAAACAAATGAAATACGTATCTCGGATGAGACCGAGATAAAATCAATAACATTTACGAACTTCGTAAGCAGGGTCTAGTGGTACGTGCCGGCAAGTGGGTGATACCCTTCAACCTTACCCTAACACTGGTAACTCTCTTCTGGCCTCGAATACGAATCGTCACATAATGAGACCGTGAAAAACACTCGCTCCTCACAACTCCTCAGTCCGCAAGCCATCAGCTACAAAACGAATCGAACACGCAAACATACACACTCAATTACAACCTCTAAACCAACATGAATAAAGCACAATTTCCCTCATATATCACATAGATACACTAGAGTAACACTTTCCCGAATCGCTGTTTGATATTCTGATAACATTTGTGAAATAATAGGAGATGCTCCGTTTCATGTGCGGAGACACCCATTTGACGTTCGACAAAATTTGATGAAAATACTCAAACGTCGCTTGGAACGACGAACAACGGGGTACGAGACTTATAATCTCGTGAAATCGTGGTCCTTTATTTTGACGAGTCTCTTATTACGGCAAAAGTTTCATAACTTCTACTCGGCTGACATGCGAACTCTTTTCAAAGGAGGCTCCTATAAATTATGCTTGAATTACTACAGTTACGTTGACAGACTACGAGTACCTACATTCTTTGCAGACACTGCAATTTTCATAAATTATATTTTGTTACGTACAAAGACATACCTATTTCAATATTAATATCAAAATTTTTAAAATTTTGTATTTTTTGAAAAGCAATTGT